GAGCAAATTGAAAAACTTATAAACTCGCGCAACTTTTGGGACAATGTCGTTCCTTGCGATTATCGGAGTGAAATTATCGTGACATTTTAAATAGTCAACGTGCGATAGTAAAATTTGGCGTTCGTTAACCATTTTCTTTCAACTTTCGTGATTTAATATATTTTTCACCTTTGGATTCGTCAATTTCTTCAGATTCGTTTGAGTATAAAGTCACTGTATATTAATTAATTCGTCAAAGTGCTTGAATTTACAAACGTTAATGCATACATTTGCATACATATGACCCTTTATATAAAAGAAAATAATTAAAAAAGAAGAACAATATGTAGTTAATATTATTTAAAGTCGTTGAAAAAAAAAACTGCATTTGCATTTGCGATAAATTTTCCTCATGAACATTTATTATTCGGTTGGGAAGAAGAAACCTTGAAGATGTTTCATGGATTATGATAATCGCTTGGCTACATTGCATTAAGGTTTCAAAACGACGAATAAAATTCAGTCTTCACAATCGTTTGAACATTACGTCTGTTGAATCATTCAGTTATATAATTTTTGGCATGTTATGTACATTATTTCGTGTAAACATTTGATACAATCCCATGGTTACGCGGGTCCAAAAAAACATAATCTTTTTTCCCAGAGTTTGGTGCTCTGTTCTTATCAGGGATGAAATCTCTTATGGAGCTCGTTATGGAGCTCGTGTCTAATTATATCAATAAATATAAAAATCGTGCATGTAACACCGATCGTACCGCCATATGAATTATGCGAATTAATTACGGTATGAATTATGTATTTAAAAAAAAGGCTTAATTTCAATTGAGAAACATGAATTAATGAATCTTCCAATACAATTTGCATTCGAAAGACATATTAAGAATCACGTGATTCGCTCGTTATCGAATAACGAATATCAAATGAACTGGAAATGAAATCATGCTTACGACGTCGAAAATTTTTTAGAAACGTTTACCTAACTGTGAGTCAAGTACATCTGAGCAGTTTATCAGGCTATTCAGCAATTTAGAACCAGTACTCATCGTCGTTGTCGTTGTCGTTGTCGCTGTCGTCGTCGTCGTCTTCAACAATACCGAAACAGTAGAGCCACAATCGTGAAAACTGCGAATAAAATATTACAAACTTCATACGAATTTCACGTCAAGACGCAAAGATGGCTAACTGGCGGCCCGCGAGCCCTTGCCCCTACTTTCTTGATCGCTAAAGCTATCCCCTCCACTGCATCGATCCCTCCGCTTGTTTACAATTACAGTAATCATGTCGTAGCTGCGATTCAAAGCGTTTATTCCCACTAATTCTTGACTAATTGGGGCTCTACGCTACTTTAGCGCGCGGCCG